GTTTGCTTTGTTTGTGTCCGTTTGCTAGGGGCTCTTGATGAGCGGTTTTCGATAAACGAGCGCGCGCGGAATGAATGATTTGACAGGGGCGAGGGGGTTCGGCGCTGGCTTGACCGGAAAGGCATGCATACACGTTAGGAATGAGCGATGGGGCAGAACCATACGAAAATTGCATTATCCCATGGGTATCCGATAAGGCTGGCTTCGGGACATAAAGGGTTACATATGTTTTGCAGTCAACATTGCGCAATCTACGCGGCAATATCTACGCCGCGCAATTCACCGCACAGAACACGCAGTTGCCGAGGTCCCTGCTCGCGTAACCACCCCGCCCGCCCACCCGCAACATGGCGCGCAGAAACCGCGCGGCGGCGATTGCGGCGATTGCTCGGCGCTGGCTGGCGCATCGCCGCGGCCGCGCTAGCGCGCACAAGCTCGCGCGCAGAGCGGCGAGCTAGCCTGGCGCGACCAACGCGGCCGCGGTGACGCTGATCGCCGGGATCTTCCAAGCGCACCTCACAGGCCGCGCTGACGCGCGGGCGCACCAGCTCGCGTCGGCGCATCGGGCGGGCGCGGCATCTCGGCGCCGTCTTCAGCGGCGGGCGCGATCATGGGGGCAGCGAGGATTGCGACGATGAAGACTATGATGACGGCATGGCCACTGACGGCGCCGATGCTGATCACGCAAACGACGGCGATGGCGCCCGCGCCCTAGCGATGAAATTGCAAGGGTGGGTCCACGCGCGCCGGCCCCGCCGCCGCCGCGCCCCCCGCCCGCCGCCCGCCCCGCGCCAAAGAGGACGACGACGACGACGAACACGAGGAAGGACAGAGGACGACGCAGGCGACGACGACGACGACGACGACGCGGGAGGAGGGGGGGACGGCGACGACGACGACGACGACGCAAGAGCGGGCGCGCACGCTTTTGTTGAAAATCCGCGTTGCGAAACCTTGTGTTTTTTGTATGTTTCTTGGGCGCGCGATTCTGAAATCCTTCCGGAACTGATGGGTTTTGAAGGATTGCGGCATACGAGCGCGACGACGCGCGCGTCTGCACTTCGCCCCACTTGTTGCAGAGGATTCTCGCGACGGCGCACGCGCAGGGGCGTTCGACAGATCTCGACATGCGCGCTCGCGAAGCCCGTTTGGTAGAATGTTGTGGGGAATCTTGAAAAAACGCATGGTTTTCGTAAGACTTCGCGGGAGCTCGCGCGTAATTTTCTTGTGTGGCAAATCAGCGTTGCGAAACCATGTGTTTTCGTGTGTTTGTTTTGGAAACTCGGTTACGAGATCCTTCCAACGCCGAAGGTTTTTGAAGGATTTCGGCATGCGCGCGCGACGGCGCGCACGCGCACTTCGTCACATTTGTTGCAAGGGATTCGTGGAAAAGTGCTATGTTAGAACAAAAGATGTCCCCGCGTCTCGTTATATATATATATATATAAAGGAAGAAACTCAGGGGGTCGGCACCGGCCCCTCGGGGATAATGTAAATTCATATCTAGGATGGACATGTGGACATAATCATATATGATTTACATAGCCGAAAGGGGGAGGGATAACGCCGGGGGGGGTAGAGCCGATTCTGTTTTTAGAGAAGAGAATCGACATTGCGCAATCGACGCTGCGAAATTAGTTGATGCCCACTAGTGAGCTGTGAGCGCCACTGCTCGCGCAGCCACCCCGCCCGCCCACCCGCCACGTGGTCTGAAAAACCTACGCGGCAACGATTGCGATGACTGCTCGGCGCCGGCTGGCACGTCGCCCGAGTCGCGCTAGCGCGCGCGCGCTTGTGCGCAGAGCGGCCAAGTAGTCCGGCGCGACGGCGCGGCCGCGGCGGCGCTGGCCGGCCGCCAGGCACGCCCCAGAGCGTCTCGCGCGCCGCGCCGACGCTCGGGCACGTCAGCGCGAGTCGGTGCCTCGAGCGGGCGCGATTCCACGGCGACGCCGGCAATGCAGACGCGATGATAGTAGCGACGCTGGCGACGACGATGACGACGACGGCGGCAAGGCCGCAGACACCGCCGACGCTGGGCACGCTGGCGAAGTCGATGGCGGCCGCGCGTCGGCGATGAAGGTTTTGGCTGGATTTCGACGCGCGTTTGCTGACGACGCGGGCGAATGGCCCGCGTGGCGTCGCCATTTAATCGCGCCCCCTCCCGCGCCGCGCACGCGCGGAGGCGTTTGAATAATTTCGACGCGCGCGCGCGCGAGGGGCCCGCCCAGATGCACCCCATGAAAATCTCGGAGACAACGCGCGGTTTTCGCTGGAATTTGCAAGGGCGCGCTGGCAGACTTTCTGGAAGAGCATGTCGCGCAACAATTGCTGCGCGTGCGTTCGGGGCTCGACCTCGAAGCCCCTGCGAAACCCGCGGTTATGGCAGACTCCTGACGCGTGCGCGACGACGCGCGGGCGCCTGGATATTGTTTCGCTTCTTCCGACTCGCATGGACCTTCAAATATGAGCGACTCTTAATTGGCAAGTGCGCGCGCGAAGAATGATGCGTCAAGGGTGAGGGGGGGTCAGTGCCGGCTCTTGGCCGGGGCGGCATGAGTTCATAGTTGAAGTGAGTGGTGGGGCAGGATCATGCGCAAATTGCATTAGCCCAGTGGTCTCCGACAATTTGTTTTTGCTGTAAAAATTCAGCACGTGCGCGCGACGACGCGCGCGCGCCGTTTCCCCCCGACGTTTGCAAGGGAATTCTGGAAACAGGTGACTCGCGACGAACAAGCGCGCGCAGAACATTTTTCGATAGGGGCGAGGGGGGGAGGGGGGGGTGATGACGGGCGGCAGAATCGCGCGTGAATCAAAATATCCCAGGGAAGGTCGATAAACCCTGGCGGGGGCGGGGGATCCCGATGTCTTCTAGGAGAATCGACGCGGTGTAATCATGTAGCATGCCCCGCGCGCGACCGCCTCCCACGCCCGTGCAAACATCCCGCCCGCCCACCCAGAACTTGGTTGCAATGCCCATGCGGCAGAAGTTGACTGCTCGGCGCCGTTCGGCACATCGCCGCAGCCCCGCTGGCGCGCGCAGGCTCGCGCCCGGGGCGACCAGCAAGTCCAGCGCAACGGGCGCGGCCGCGGTGGCGCTGACCGGCCGCTGGGCACTTCCCAGCGCGTCTCGCACGCCGCGCTGACGCTCGGGCACGTCAGCGCGAGTCGGTGCCTCGAGCGGGCGCGACGCCATGGCGACGTCGACAATGTCAGACGCGATGCTGATAGTCGCGACGCTGGCGGCGGCGATGACGATGACGACGGGAAGGCCAAAGACGGCGACAATGCTGCTGAGCACGCCAGCGACGATGATGGCGCCCACGCGTCGGCGATGAAAGTTTCGACGGGATTTTGACACGCGCGCGCGACCGACGCGCGAGTGGCCCGCGTGGCATTGCTTATTTGACAGGGATCGCGCCCCCCCCCCCCTCCCAGCGCACGCGCAGGGGCGTCCGAATGATTTCGACATGCGCGCGCGAGGGGCGCGTCCTGGCTGCATTTGACGAGCGCGTTGAACAACTCATGGTTTTCTTCCGATGATTCAAGAGCGCGCGCAGTCGGATCTCGAAAACGTTGCTCAAACATTTAGTGTCTTAAATGTGCTCGGGAAGCTCGATCTCGAAGTCCCTGCGAAACCTAATGTTTTTGGCTGACTTGAATTCATGTAGAAATCATCTAGCTCATATTGTTCGTTCACGACGCGCGGGACGATTTGAACTCATCTAGAAAATGAGAGAGGAGACAGAGGCAGATGCAAATTGCAATGCGCGGGGTTCGGCGTCTAAGTCAGGCATCGATGAGGTGGTGGAATCTCTTACATGTTTGAAGAGAGCTACTTGATGCTCACTAGCGGCTGTCAACTCCACTGCCCGCGCATTTGTCCACCCACCCACCCGCTTCTTGGTTTGCAAGACCCATGCAGCGGCGATTGCGATGGCAGCTTGGCGCTGGCTGGCGCATTCCTGCTGCCGCGCTAGCGCGCGCAGGCTCGTGGTAGACCGGCCAGCTAGTCTGGCGCGATTGGTGCGGTTGCGGTGGCGTTGACCGCTGGGGAGTTTCCGGCGCGTCTCGCACGGCGCGCTGGCGCGCGGGCGCATCAATGCGAGCTGGTGGTTCGGGCCAGCGCGGTACCATGGCGACGTCGACAACGGCAGACACGATGATGATAGTAGCGATGTTGGTGACGATGATGACGGTCACGACGACAAGGTCAATGATGGCGCCGGTGTTGACCACAAAGATGACGAAGATGGTTTCCACATGTCGGTGATGAACGTTCTTTTGGGGGATTTCGACATGCGCGCGCGGCTGGAGCTGCCCCGCATGGTATGATTTGGCAGGGATCGTGCCCGCCCCCCTCCCTTCCCAGCAACTGGGAGCAAAGGCGTTCAGATGATTACAACACGTGCGCACGATCCGCCCGCATAGTTGCATTTGATGAACATATTAAAGCCGAAAGTTGCGGAATCAATCCCAAGAGCGAGCGCTCTGTTTTTGCTGAGACGACCAGATTGCAAAACCATTGTGTCCTATATGTTTTCGGGGAATTCGATCTTGAATACTTACGAAGCTGGTGTACGGGGTCTGAGTAGTGTCGACATGCGCGCGACAACGCGCACGTGTCGATTTGGGCCCGTTTTCGCTGCAAGGGGTTATTCGCATACGTTTTCATTCGAAAAGGGCGAAGTTGGGGGAGCGATACCGGGTCCCCCAGTGGGACGGTACGAACTCATATTTTGAACGGACGATGGGGCAGAACCGTTTGTATATCGTAGTATTTAAGGGGGGCGGTGAACCCGGGGGAGGATAGATCCTAAAATCTTTATAGGCAAGGAAAAGTTCCGTTGTGGAATGTAGGCGGCGACGGGGCGGCGACAGCGAGCACGGAGCCGCCAGACCGACATTCAGGGCCAGTTGTTTTGGAAGAGAAAGAGGAATCCTTAAGTGCAGTCAATGTTTGGGGAACAGTATGAAAACATGCGCATAATATTGAAAAAAAGGATCTACAACATCGCCATCCTCTCCCTGGTTGTCCTCACTCTCGTGGAGGTGCCGCCGTGGTGCCACGACTACGCGACCGACAAGGACCTGTGGACGTTCAGGCCGGGCGCGGAGTGGTGCCGATCGCCTGGGCTCTCGGATTCCGAGGTCATCTACTTATCCAACGTCTGGTACCTCCCCCCAGGGTACGCCCTGATAGCGGAGTTGCTTATCGAGTCGGTGATATTCTACAAGTGGTCCAAGATGCTCCAGCTCGAGGACTTGCACTTTCATCCCGTGGGGGTCGAATGGAACTCGCGGAGGTGCATCAACTTTGGGCGCCTCTTCGCGGTCTGCAGCATCATCGACACCCTCGTGTTCTGTGTATGTCGGAACTCGTTCCGCTTTACGTGGCTCTTCCGGAGCGGTCTGTTGTTCATCATGCCCAGCGTGCAGCAGATGTGTTGGAGCATTTTCAACCCGCGTGTGCTCGGAGAGTTCTGTTCGGTGGCAGTCTTTCTGTTGGGTGCCTTTGTTTTTTTTGCTTGGATCGCGGTCACACTTTTCATGAAGGCGGACACACTCGCATACCAGGAGGGCGAGGAACAAGTCTTGGCCAACAAGGGTATGGAAAGTTTCCCCACCGCGCTCTACACCATGTTCGTTGCTGGCGCGTCTGGAGATTTCATCGATTGCTTCTTGCCCTCGTACACGATGTTTCGAGCATCAGGTTTACTTTGGATGATCTACCTAATGCTTACGCAGGTGCTGCTCAAGAATTTGGTGATGGACACTCTCGTCACGGCTTTCGTCCGCGGGAGCGAGAAGGAGATCGAAGACAAGACTACAGTCCTCGCGAGGGGGGTGCTCAAAGCATTCGACACGCTCTCGGATGGCAAAGAAACCGTTGCAGGACAGGATTTCGAAGATTTTGTCAAGGAGCTTCAAAAGTCACCGCTCTCAGAAAAGATCGATGACAGAATCGTGCACCGCATGAGCGAGCACTACAATCCCATAACGAGAGAGAAGTTCTGTGACATTTGCGAGGTCCTCTCGAACAGGTACACGATCGCTAAGCGGGATTCTTCCTGCCAGCCGCCTGAGTGGCTGTCGAGGAGGGTCTGGGGCGATCAGGAGGACTGGAATCCGCCCGAGAATCCGGCGTTCGATCAGTTCATGAACAAGGTGCTCCTGGTCAACCTCGGCTTGGTCGTCTGGGAGTCCTACTACAATTTGTGCGACGGCTTGAACGAGCCGGCGTGGATGGACTACCTCGACCTGATCTTCTCGTTCGTGTACTTGGGCGAGGTGGCGGTCAAGCTCTCGGTGAAGGCGTTCCAGGAGTACTGGATGGACTCCGCAAATCAGTTTGATTCAAGAGGCTCCCGCCAGCCCGTCGAACCCTAGAAGAGGAATTGTGCGGCTTCCGTCGAAAAACCAAACATTGCGTCAACATAATTTCCTGGAGCTCCACGCGGATTTCTCGGATCGGCGCTGGGCCCCCTTGGCGGCACCGCCAGCCTGGCGCGCTCCGCGCGCTGGGGAGGGCTGTCCAGCGCCGATCCAAGAAGTCCGCGCGGACCTCCGAGAATGTGTGTTTACGCAGTGCTTTGTTCCTCGATTCCGATTTCGTCTGCGCTGTTTGCCGCGTCCTGTCGTGCTGCCTGCGTGTGGTTGTTGCTGGCTTGTGCTCCGTTTCCTCCACGTCTTTTGTGGGGGGGTTCTCGGTGGCCTCGTTGAGGCATCGGGTGCCGCCTTCTGGTAGCCTCTTCACGGTTCCTGGGTGCTTGTCGGACCCATCTGATGGCTCCCAGGGCCCTCACGAGTTCCCACGCTTGGGCCTCCCCAGCCCCTCTCGGGGCCCTGTGGAAAGTTTGTTGGGCCGTCTTGGGGGCTTTCTGGGCTGTCTAGAGTCTTGGGGCTCTCTCGGGCCATCTCCGCGCCCCCTTGCTCTTTGGCCACCTTGGGCCAATCTGGAGGGCTTCTCGGCCGTCTCGGAGTTCAGGCTCCCTTGAAATAGCGAGACTGCGAAACTGCTTCAAAACCTTTGGAACATCCATGATGTTTCCCTCTTGTGGCCGTCTTGCAGATCGTCTTGGGCCCGCTTTGGATGTCTTCCAGGCCTCTTGGGCCGTCCTGAGGCCATCTTGGATGTTCTGGAGGCCTCCCCTTGGAGCCCTTCTCGAGCCATCTTATGGGGCATCTTGAGCATCTCGGAGGCCGCGGTGGGTGCTTTAGGAGGCTCCGAGGGCAAGGGCGATGCGCTGGGGAGCTCGTCCACACACACACACACATCCCCGCTCTAACAAGATTTTGGACCCGAGCGGATGGGGGAAGGGGGGGGACAGCCAAATGAGCTACGGAAGAAAACGGGGTCGATTGCGCAGACATTCGCGCGTAAGTCTCCCAAGTGAGGTCGCGCGTGAGCGCCCTCTTTCTCCACGCCGTGTACCACGCTGGCGGCCCGCGCAAGCCACGGCGTAAGGTCGCCATGCTTTCTCGTGTGAGGCCCGCTTCTGCTCGTCGCTCACATGTCGTTTCACCCCTGGCCGGCGGAGGTCGGCGGACTTCTGGACCACGTGGCTGCTGCTCTTCACGAGCCTGCTGCCGTACGTCTCCCAGTACGAGCACTTCGACCTCTCCAGGTACGCGAACATCCTTCGGTTGCTGCGCCTGGTGCGCATCCTCAAGCAGTTGAAGTCGTACGACAGCGTCCAGCTGATGATGAAGGTCGTCTCCCGCAGCATCGCGACGGCAAGCGATATCCTCTCCCTTATGGGCGTGTCCATGTTCTTCTTCTCGGCGCTCTCTGTCAATCTCTTCGGTGGGCTCATCTACCAGGGCAACCCCAAGCTGGAGGAGACTGAGTACGCAGAAAAGCACTGGTTCGCTCTCAACTTCAATGACATGTTCATGGCCTTGAACACGTGGTGCATGCAAATATTACTCGAGTATGTGCCCTTATATGCCGACGCCATCAGCAAGGTCTCAGAGTACGGGAGCATCGCCTGGGTCATCGTGCTCCTCTTCTACATCACGACCGCCGCCATCATGTACGAGCTGCTCCAGGCATTCACGCTGACCGTCTTCATCGCCGTGAAGGAGGATCGAGTGGCGCGCCCAGGGGGGGGGTCGACAGAGGGCGGGCTTTTTCCATAAGGCGCAGATGGACCTTCTCAAGCCTCCTCCTCCTCCTCCTCATCCTCCTCCCCCTCCTCCTCCTTCCTCCCCCTCCTTCTCCTTTTCCTCCTCCTCCTCCTCCTCCTCCTCCTCCTTCTCCTCCTCCTCCTCCTGAGGAACTTCCCAAGTCTTCTCGAAAGCCACAGAGGGCTTCTCAGAAGGCCAGAGGGCTTCTGAGGAGCCCCGCCGCCTTCTGCGAAGCCCCGCCCGGCTTCCGGGTCGTAGATCGAGCCTCCCGCGGCCGTTCGAGACCATTTGGGCTCCCCCGGAACGCCCTCGGCGAGGCGCAGCTGCTGGAAAGCACCACGAGGCGGGAAACTTGCGGGAATCGCCGGAGCGTCAGAGAACGTCGCCCCCCCCACCCCCCGCGCGCCGCCGAAAGGAAGGGAACGATGACATCTCCGAGATCGACAGCGACGAGGAGGAGGAGGAGCACGGGAGCAAAGACTCCAGCGGTGACCGCAGCATCGGACCGGGCGACCACATGGTGCCCGACCGAAACCGACACACAAGCCACTCTGAGCACGCGGAGAAGCACGGCAAAGCGGACGAGTGCATGGAGAGAGGCCAGGGGCATTTCCTGGAGGCGGTGGGGGCCGTCTTCGAGAAGCAGGACTCGAGGAGAAGGGGAAAAACGATGGCGCTGCCCGTACCGGGGAGCCCTCGTCGAGAAGGATCCTCCCCGAGATGCTGGCCAGAACGCGCCCAAGGAGAGGTTTGGGTGTTATCAGCACATCTGTGCCACCTGCGTTGCCCCCCTCCGCGCCCCTGCGCCTCGCCCGACCCGCCAAAGTTGCGCGGAAGGCGCTCTAAGCTAATGGTCTTGACGGGCGCATATCAACAAGAGCAAACTGCACGAACGAAAACAGTTGGAGGGCCGTGCGAACTTCTTGGATCGGCGCTGGGCCCCCATGGCGGCGCCTCCGGCGCCACCCCTGGCGCGCTCTGCGCGCCAGGGGGGGTGTCCAGCGACGACACAAGGAATCCGCGCGATTCGAATGTTCATGTTTATGCCGGCCGTTCTGCCTCTGAGGACATTCCCCAGTCTCTCCACTGGGACCTCCGTCTCGAGTCTACGGAGGTCAGGGAGGTCGCCGAGGCGTACGAGAAGTGCATGCACCACGATCATGCCCATGGCGCCGACCAGGACTTCTGCCTGGCAGCGTGGGAGCTCGAGAACACCCTCCAGAGGGCGAGGGACGGCCTGCCCTGGAAAGAGTTCAGGCGCCCAGACCGCCTCGAGGAGGCCCGCCGGAAGCACTTCCAGGTGCAGAGGGCGACGACGTGGTACTCAGGAGGGAAAAAAAAACATACAGACACAATTAATCCTCGATTCCGAGGAAAATATTGGAAAATATTGGAATTTGGAGGGAAGACAAAAACCAAGAAAATATGGGAAAATATATAGAATATTTGTATTTGTGTGTATTTATTTGTGTGTCCCAATTTCCCTTTAGGTACAGCAGGGCGATCGTCGGCCTCGTCTGCCTCACGGCCCTCGAGGTGCCGTCCTGGTGCCACGCGGTGCACGGGGGCGACCGGCCGAACCCGTGGGAGTGGAGGCCCGGGCACGAGTGGTGCCCCGCGCCCGGCGGCACCCACTGGGGCATGAACTTGAGCGGCATCTGGTACCTCCCGCCGGGCTACGCCCTGGTCGTCGAGGTGCTTAGTTTCTGCACGCGCGAAATGGGTACTGAAAGAATGGGTACAATGCCCAACAGCAGTTCCTGTTCGTTCTGAACAGGACTCGCTCTCCGCGCCGCCGCGGCTTGTGTCCATTTGAGACAGAGGGCCGCCTACCCAACAGCGGCCGCCGTTGGTTTGGGGCAACATTTGTTGTCGGGCACTGTACCCATTTTTCCGTACCCATTTCGGGCGTTCAAATAGTTGCCCTGATGTGCCCGCTTCAAAACGCAACACGTACTGTGTTCAAAACGTCCGTGTTAATTCACGCGGCACTCGTGCCTGGTCCTGGGCCGGTCGCGTCTGGCAATGTGGAAGCCTCCAGCTCGAGGCGGCAAGCAGGTCGGAGTGGTGGAGCAAGCAACTTAGTTGCCATGATAATTACGCCCGTTTTGAAACGCAACGTGCACCGTGATCAAACGTCCGTGTTGTAACACGTTGCGTGTTGGCTCAGCGTGTTGGCCCATGTTTTGGCGAATGTATCGCGCCAGACCTACGCTCCCAGCCTGCGTGTTGAGCGCCGCGTCAACACGCTTCGGGTTGCGTGGTGCGCATCTGGGCAGCCAAGCTCGGCGAGGTGATAATAGAGTTGCTGATACTGCGGAAGTTCACCATGGAGTTCTTCCACAACCGCCACTACTTCAGGCCCGAGGAGAGCCTGCACAGCCGCAGGAGCTCGGCGGGGCGCCGACGTGGGGGGAGGGGGGCGGAGGCCTTCTCAGAAGGCGGCGGGGCTTCGGAGGAGGCTTGGTAAGCTTCTCAGAGGGCAGGGGGCCTTCTGAAGAAGCCCGTCCCCCCTCTGCCCTCCCGCCTGGGCGCGGAGCCGAGGAACATCATGCTCGGCTGGTTTTTTGCGGTCGGCAGCATCGTCGACACGGCGATCTTCGCGGTGCACCGGGGCCCCGTCCGCGGGGTGTTCTTCTTCCGCACGGGGCTGTTGTGCCTCCTTCCCGGGGCGCAGAGGCCGTCAGGGGCAGTGCTTCTTAGAGGGAGGGGGGAGGCTCAGGGGGGTACGTAGCGCCCTTTCGAAGTTCGGACTTCGGGGTTGTCGGGTGTCTTGGTCGGTTCTCGGCGGTTCTCCTGCCTCGGGGTGCCCTCCAGCAGCTACGCCTCGCCGAGGGCGTTCCAGGGGGCGCCCAGATCTTCGCGAAAGGCCGCCGAAGGCTCAAGGTATGACCCAAAAGCCACCAGGGGCAACGTTAGGAGGGATAGGCCCAAGGGGAGGGCATCGCCCCCGAGTCGCTCATTCATCGACGATGGCGGCCCGATAGGCCGCCCCGCCCAGGAGCGTAAGGATTGGCCATAGGGGGGGCCCATCGCCGATCTATCGGCGATGTATTTCCGATTGCGAAGGCCTTACGGCCGGTGCCGCCGACCCTGAATGGCGACGACGACGACGACGACGACGAGCGCTCTTGGGGGCCTCTTGGGGGTAGTTTGTGGGCCTCTTGGGAAGCTCTTAGGGGCCGCTTGGAAGCCTCGTGGGGGCCTCTTGGGGCTTCCTTGGGGTCTCTTGGAGGGGGCCTGGGACGTCTTGGAGGCTTCTGGGACGGTCTTGGGGCTATCTTGGGCGTTTTCGGCCGATCTTTGGGCGACTCGGGGCCCTCTTGGGTCGTCTCAGGGGCCATCTTGGGCATTCGGACCTCATCTGGAGTGTTTTCGAGGTTTCTAGGCCGCCCGAGGAAAAACGAATATGCCCCCCCACCCCCCCCGGGACCCCCCCCCCCGGGACCCTCCCCCCCCAGGGAAGGGATCAAAGGGAAGGGGCTTCCCTTCGACTCGATTACGACGCTGCTAGATTTTTCTCTCGCCCACGAGCTTGTGAAGGAAGCTGCAGGGAAAGGGGACGACGGAGGCGACGACCGACGGAGACGACGACTCGAACAGCCAAGCCCCTCGCACACGCCGACAGGGTCGGCGGATTTTAGCTCGATGTCTGCCCCCCTGAGCAAATCCCCCCTTATCGCTCCCCCTCAAGAGGCTGTGGGACCGGATTGCGAACGGCAAGATGCTCGAAGAGTTCACATCTGTCGCGGTGTTCTTCGGCGGGGCGGTCGTCTTCTTCGCGTGGATCGCGGTCACCATCTTCAAAGACAACGAGGAAGTCGCGTTCACCAGGGAAGGCGAGGGTGTGATGGTCAACGAAGGGCTGGACAGCATGCGGAGCTCTATCTACACGATGTTTCTCGCTGGGATGACAGAGGGCTTCGTGGACATCTTGCTACCCACCTATAGCAAGTACCGCAGCTCGATCTTTCTCTGGATCCTGTTCCTGCTGGTCACTCAGGTCCTGCTTCTCAACCTGGTCATCGACGCCTTCTCCGCTGCCTACCTGAAGGGCTCGGAGAAACTAGCAGAGGGCTCTGCGAAGACTATTGCCAAGGGATTCCTCAGGGTATTCCACCTGATCGGCCACGACGGTAATGTGTCCAAAGATGCATTCAGGAATTTCGTCGTCGAGCTCGGCAAGTCACCGTCAATGAACGCGATATCAGCGGAGGTGGCCGAAGTGATCCACGACGAGCTCGGCGGTATCAGCAAGCATAATTTCTGTCACGCGTGCAGCCTGCTGCAGAACAAGATCTGGTTGACCAGTAGAGACTCCTTTCTCAAATCGGGCTGGCTGCACGACAAGATCACGAAGCCGACTGAGAACCCCGATTTCGAAGGCTTCATGAGCTGGATTCTCGTATTCAATCTCGTCGTCGTGGTGGCTCAGTCGTACTTCAACCTGAGCGAGCTCGAAGTGCCATTGTTCCTGGAGTTCCTGAGCGACTTCTTCACCTTCAGCTACGTTGGCGAGGTGGCCCTGAAGCTGTCGGTCAGGTCGTGGCAGAACTATTGGAGCTCCGGCGCCAACCGTTTCGACTTCTACACCACGTGGCTTCTCTTCGGCACGGGTGTTTTAAAGTATTTGCCGTTTTGGTCCGTAAAGCGCGAGCTGTCCCATTACGCGAACATCATGCGGCTATTGCGTCTGGTGCGGGTGGTCAAGCAGATGAAG